TTTTCTGCTTATTTTTAAAATAGTAACTCAAACCTTACAAACTCTCTAATACACTTTTTCTCCAGCAACAGGCAGAATCCCTGTCCTGGAATTTTCACAGCAGCCTGACTATAATTTTCCTGCTGCGCTGACTAACCTGCATTGTAATTAATTGCTTACGTACTTGTTCTTTTGAAGCATCCATCTTATATAAAAACTGTTGTTTGAACTTTTAACCCTGCTATTTCTGGCTTCTGTAAATGCTTGCTGGCTTAAATAATAAGGAAAATAAGACTACTCCCATTTCAGAGAGGCCATTAAACCTTCTCCAGATGAAGTTATTAGTGCTGGCACCAGGCCAAGCCTTTGGTTGAGGTCTCAAAGCCCCAGCACATAGGGCCCTTTAAGAACTTGCAGAGGGGAACGGAAAAACCCCATATTTGGGAGACAAAAAAGGTAAAATGGTAAAAATACAGGAAACTTCTTGTGTGATTTTGCCCAGAATTTGAGAGACATTTTCCTCTGGGCCCACTTGTAATAATAATAAATGTAACTCCATCTCTCTAAGCGTTGCTTGGTTCTCCGGTTTTCTGTAACACTTGGAAAACAAAACCCTCGAGGTTCGGGCTGATAGAAGTCAGAGACTGGAAACTGTCCCCAGAAGGACAGGGCTGTGATGACAGCAGGCAGGGTTGGGGGTGGGGAGGGGCACCTGGAGGACCAGAGTGGGGTGCAGACCCATGGGAGACTGGCTGGGATGAGCGGTGTGGAGAGTTTGGGGAGCACTGGATGAGGTGAGCGTGGACCCCATCCCTGAGCCAGGGGCCTGCGGGACTGCAGCAGCCTCACACCTATGAGGTCAGCCCTGCCAGGACATGGCTACCATTCTCACTCCCATAACAGGGAAGGGAGGTTGTTTGGTGCCCAAGGACATGTAGGTGGGAAGGGATGAGTTGGACTTGGAACCCAGGCCCTCCTCGGACCAGCACCCACAGCAGCCTCTGGAAAGATCTGATTGCTCTGACTTGAGTCTGGAGGTCCGGGAGATGCAGCCAAAGCCCAAACCAGCCTGGCTGGGCACCCAGCCCTCGGCTCCACCAGGCAGGGCTCCAGGCTTTCCTGAATGAAGCACAGGAGTGTGTCTCCTCAACAGACTCTGGCCACCTCCTCATGGTCCCACTCTCCCCGCCCAGCACATCTGTGCAGCCCCTACAAGGACCCAGGGATCCTGTCCAGCACAGTGGGAGGACACCAGGCCACACACTCCACCAGACTTTAGATGGGTGGGCAGCAGGTTTGGGGGCCCGAGAGAGTGACCAGGGGAGATGCCCCAGCACTCCCACCTCCCACCGTGCAAACGCAGGCAGCACATAAGCCCTGTCAGGATCAGCCCCGGTGGACAGCTTTATTCCAATCTCAGGGAAGCAGTAGGACCCAGAGGTGTACACCCCACCCGAATGCCCAGGCATACCAGGCTCTGGACACAGCAGGTGGGCAGCCCCCTCCCAGTGTCCCCGGGTGGCCTTGCTCAGGCCTCAGTTCTTTTGTCCTTGCCCCTGTCTGTCTTCCGTCTCAGGGGTGGGGTTGTTATCTCCCAGGCTCCATGCCTGGGTCATCCCTGCCCAGCAGGCTTCTTGGAGAGTGTCCACCCCATGGTGAGTTCAGGGACCATTCTGTGGCTCTTCACTACTGGTCACAGTCCCCCTCCCCTCCCCAGCAGGCAGCACCTCCTGGAGAGCCCTGGATCTGATCCCCACACACCTGTGTCGTCTCCTAGGCCACAGTCACACACAGAGAGTCCTGGCTCCTGTGAGCTTTGGCAGCGGGAGTCCCGGCTAATGCAGACGCCTCCTGGAACTCCTTGGTCATGTAGTAGTAGCAGATGGCATCCAGGCAGCAATTGGCATCCGAGACCATGCCAGTAATGTAGACGATGTCCTGAATGACACAGGTGTTCAGGCCTGTGGCCAATCGCCACGTCAGCACCACGTGCAAGGGCAGGAAACAGACCACGAACACCACCAGGTTTGCCCAGACCATGCAGGCAGCCTTCCGGGTGGCCTCCATCTGGCCCACGTCGGCAGCTGGCCTCTGGCCCAGGGCAGTCACCACCTGCAGAGAGCAGAAGACCAGCACGGCCAGCGGCAGGTAGAAGCCCAACAGGGAGAAGACCACGGTTTGGGGATTTTGCCGGGAGGGGTTCCCAAAGCAGAAGCCACCCTCTTGGTCCTTCAGGACCCAGCGAAGCAGCAGGGAGCCGACCACCAGCACCCAGAGCACTGCACACACGGCCCCGGCCTGCTTCGGGGAGCGGAGCCCGCGGCCACACAGCGGGTGCCGCACAGCCACGTAGCGGTCCACAGCGATGGCCATGATCAGGCTGATGCTCATGTACCTGTTGGTCAGGTAGATGCCCTGGGAGAGCTGGCAGAGTACCGTGTCAGCACTATTGTCCTTATTCATGGAGAAGAGCATGAAGGGCAGAGTGCAGAGCAGGCAGAGGTCGGCCACGGCCAGGTTGACCATGTAGATGTGGGTCTCTGTCCACTTGCGCAGGCGGCAGCAGAACATCCAGAGCGCCAGGCCGTTGAGCAGCAGGCCCAGCAGCAGCAGCAGGCCCAGGTAGGCGTAGAGGATGTGTGTGACCAACAGGAAGTTGGTGATAGGGCAGGTGCTGTTGTTCATGGTCCTGGGGCTGCAGGAAGGGAGCAGGGGTGAGGAGGGCTGGCAGCATACGGAGCTCAGGGAATGGCAAGGCCCCGCCCATCTCTGGCTGAGGATGAGCCCCAACCCCATATCCAAAACTCACTTTCCCAAAGAAGTCATCGAAACCATAGGAGCTCTGAGGCCCCGGCAAGCCAGACCCCTGCCTGCTGGAAGGTGGGAAAATCAAGGCCTTTGGAGCTGGGTGGGCCCAACATGGCCCAGTGAGCCAGCCCAGATGTGTGACCAGCGGGGAGACCCTTGAACTCTCGAGAGCCCTCCTCTCCCGGCCCTGCCTGCTGCTAGGCAGAAAGGAAGGCAGAGGAGCTCGCTGCCCACCTCCAGTCCAGCTGATTCAGCTCTCAGGACAGGGCGCCGGAGAGGGCGACTCTAAGGAGGGCCCAGGACACTGCTGCATGGCCTTCTGCCTCTCCTCCCGCTTCCCGGACCTACCTTTGACCCACACCTGCTCCTCAACAGCGTGGTCAGCATGTACCCACCTGGCCACTCGTGGCAGCCGAGGTCCAGACAGCAGGGGCTGTGGCTCAGGACAGCTCCCCAGAAAACTCCAGAAGTCTGGTCTTGATAGGGAGCCCCTTGAGCTCCCTATGGTCAGAACCCTGAGGGAGCTCTGCCCTCCAGGCCCAGACCAGCCACACGGTGGCACTGGGCGACCTCCACCCCGTCATCATCATCATCGTCAGAAGCTCCCACACAGCCTCCCCTCCCTGTCTATGCTGGCCTCTCATGCCCCCAAATACACCCCATCACGCAGGGCAGGAGGCCAGGACCAGCCCACCAGGGCCTGAGGACGTGGTCAGGGTCCAACCTCCAGGTGATGGCACCTGATGCTGAGATGGATTCTGCATTCACCCTGCGCTGGGTCAACCTTGGAGCCTCCCAGGGGGCTGCGGCTGCTGGTGTCCCATGTGGTGGGTTAATGGAGCATGTGGTGAGGACCAGGACACCATGCCTCCTCCCACCCCCAGGAACACGGGCCCTCCAGGTGGGGAATGGAAGTGGGTCAGTCTGGGGGTTGGGGGGGGGTGGCAGGAGGCGGGGGAGAGGGCCTGGGCCAGGCTGGGTGGGTTCTTTTCTCTTCCCTCCCCCCAGGAAATAACCAGCATTTGCAGAGTCATTAGGCTCATTAGCGCTGGCTGGGCCCTCTGGGAGCCTCCAGACAAAGGCCATTAGAGAGGCAGGAGCAGGTTTCAGCCAGAAGCAGAAATATTCCGCTGAGTATCCCATCCCATCTCTTTTGCATTTTAAAACGGCACATTTGCCAGCAATTAAAATTTCAAGCACGCTTTTCCTGTATGTAACATCCCTGCACAACCCGCGATCTCACTCCTCGTGTTTTGAAGGATTCTGTTGGTTCTTTCTGAGACACCTCATTTTGTCCGTATCCTGAGGTTCCTCAGACCATGAACCAGGCCAGGCTGTGGACACCCCCAGAACCCACTAGAACCAGCCACTGGGATCCTTCCTTTCTGCCCACCCCGCCCTCCTAGCCATGCCCCACCCAGAAACCCTGGTGAGCTGCCAGGCCAGCTTTGTGAGGTGCCCCAGCCCAGAACCCTCAGATCCTGACTGGGGCTACTACTCCAGGCCCCTCCTCTCTGTCCTCTAGGGTCACCCCAGGAGAGCTTGGGAAGTCAAGGCCTGGGTCCCACCCAAATGGCCTTGTGTATCCCTGCCCATGCCCAGCCCCAGCATGGGGACCCCAGCTGGCCTCCTGCCCAGACATGCAGGACCGTCCCCCTTAACAGACACTGTGGTCGCCCTGCAGAAGCATGTGCTCTGAGCGCTCAGCCACCTGGGGCCCTGTCATATCCGGCCGGGGGAGTCTGCCATGGGAAAGGGGAGCAGGCTCAGCTTCCTCTTGAGTCTGCTTCCCGCACAGGAAGCAGAAAGCCACCTTGTGATTTGCACCAAGATGCCTGTGCAGTCATTGTCAGAGAGACCTATGCACGCACTGGGGTTGTCCCCTCCCCGCCCCCATCTCCAGCCCCTATGTCTGCCAGCCCCAGACACCCCACAGTCAATCTGGGGCAGACAGTGGTGCCTGGGCACTGTACAGGCCTCCGGAACTGGGACCCCACTTAAGAAACACCCCAGGATCCAGGACTGGCATGTGTGAGTGAAACAAAAGTTGCACAAAACAAGGTGAGGATGTGAATATAGACAAATGGAACACGACTCAGCCATAAAAAGGACGAAATATAACCATTTGTGACAAGATGGATGGATCTTGAGCGAATCATGCTAAGTGAAATAAGCCAGACAGAAAAGGACAAAAACCATGATTTCCTTCATATGTGGGATATAAAACAAAAAGCAACAAACGAACAAAACAAACTCACAGACAGACACCAGAATGGCAGTCACCAGACGGGGTGGGAGGGGGGAGAAGGGGAAAAGGGTCACATATATGGTGACAGAAGGAGACTGGACTCTGGTGGGGAGCACACACTAGAGTGTACAAAAGCCGAATTATAATCGTTTCACAAAACAGAGCTCACCGAACTGACAACACAGAACTGAAATAATTTCTATCTAGTTTTTTAATGCTGGTCACACCCACAAGGTAGATTTCAGTCTCAAATTAGGTGGGAGTCTAGGCCCTGGAGACACTTCGATCTCCTCTGAATTGCAGCCCACCCTCATGGAAGAGGGTCCCCTTTCCAGACCTGCCCCTCAGAGCTCCTCCATTAGGATACTCCCCTGAGATTCCAAGCCCCATCACAGCCCTGGCCCCTCTCTGAGACTCCCCAGGCCCCAAGGTTGGCACTGACCTGCAGTCAACCTCAGTTTCCCGGGCAGAGCCGTCTCCCCCACCCTTCAGACTGCCTGACTATAGCCCTCCTTAAGGCAGCAGGCAGTTGGCAGGCTGACGACAGCAGAGGGGGGTGATGGGCTCCCCTCTGCCTCTGCCCCAGCCCAGAGCTGCCTGGGGAATTTCCAAGAAGGGAAGTGGGAGTGGGCACTATGTCGACACCTCCAGACAGCACACGCACTTGCAGCACCAGAGGGTTCCCCAGCAGAGGCATCTGTCCTGCTCACTGCATGGCACCCTCACACGCAAAGCCAAGCTGACGGTGACCACCAAAAGGCATGGACACACAGCGGCTCAGGGCCGACGGCCTGCCGGCCGCCTGCTGGCTGCTTTACCTGGCCTGCTCCTCCCCATCTCCTCCTCAGAAGCCCCTTCCTAGGCCGCCCAGCTCGGGTCTCTGCACTCTGAGCCCAGCGTGGAGAGCGGCCCTTCCTTTGGACCCCTACTCAGCGCCCTGCAGCCTGACTTTGTCTCCTCAGCTTCCCCCACCAATCGCCACCTGCAGCATCTCTCTCTATACAGACTGCTGGGAGCCCTTCGACCCCACCCCTGCCCATTCACAGAGGTGGAGCAGAGGCCCGAGTGGGGAGTGTGGCCCGGCCTCTAGACCCGGGGACCAGTGCTCCTGCCCAGAGGCCCTGTTTCACCCCTCTCCTCCGCAGCCCCCGGACGCAGGTCTGATAGGGGAGGGGGTTGGTCTCTCCATGGGCTCCTTCTGCCCCCCTCCCCCTGCCTGGCCCCCTCCCAAAGCAGTTCTGACACCCTCTCCATCTGTTGTTGTTGTGTGTTTTTTTTCATACAACTTGTCTTTTGTATAGTTGACCCTTGAACAACTTGGGGGTTAGAGGCAACAGCCCCCACACAGTTGAAAATCCACATATAACTTTGACTCCCCCCAAAACTTAACTACTAGTAGGCTCCTGTGGACCAGAAGCCCTACTAATAACATAAAGTCAGTTAACATATTCTGTATGTTATATGCATTATATACGGAATTCTTACCATAAAGTAAGCTAGAGAAAAGGAAATCCTAAGAGAAAATACAATATTTATTGAAAGAAATCTGCATGTGAGTGGGCCCACCCAGTTCAAGGGTCAGCTGTACTAGTACTTAGTCTTTGCTTGTGACCAGGACCCCGCCTGCCCTCGGACATGTCACCACTGGGCACAGAGCAGCGCCTCAATAAAGCGTATTAGCCAGTCGGCAGCCCTGACAGCGGGAAGAGTCTGTCCAGGGACCGTGCCAAGGACCGAGCAGGGTTCATGGCTCCCAGCAGGTGCCCCATAAACATGAGCTGCCACAGGCTCAGAAACATCTGCCTGGTGGAAGGGAGTACCTGCCCCCTGGCCCTTTCTCATGAGCCGGCTCCCTCCCCATGGAAGGCTGGCTGTCCCAGTCTGAGAGGCCTGGCCATGCTGGGCAGGCTTCAGGTGCAGACCAGGCCCACCCCCTTACTCCTGGACAGTCTCACAACCACAGCAATGGTCCTCTGCCGAGGAGGACAGGCGAGGGCAGCCTCAATGCTGCTGCCAGCATCCGCCAGGGGCTGGAGGCCTCCTCCCGTGCCTGCCACCCCTGCTGCAGTCCCAGAGCCCTGTCCTGCGTCCATCCTGACTGGCCTGGGAGAGTCCATGTGACAGGCTTATGCCAGGTGGGAGGGGGTGGCAGGGGGTTGGCACAGATCTCAGGGAGGCTTCTCCTGCCCACTTCTCTGAATCCTTGGGGTCAGAGAGGAAAGGGCTGTTGGGTTGTGAGTGACCGTCATGAGCTACGTATGCATCACTGCCCTGGGTCCACATGAACCCTGGAGGGAAGGGCCCCGGGGAGGCTGGGCCTCTCGGAAGGAGCCTGCTGGACATGATCATGGGCCAGCCCAGCACACCCTGCAGACACCTGGTGCTGCCAGCGCCGCCCTTGCAGCAGCCACCTCCCTCCCTTGAAAACCTGCCACCCATCCACAGGGCTCCTCCTGCCTGTCCCCCTACACAGAAGTCATATTCAGCCTCTGAGACCCACGCAGCTCACTCATTCATGCCCTCAGTGAATGTGTCTGAGCGTGGACAGGTATCACTGAGGCTAAGAGTGGGCACAGGACGGACAGGGGTTGAGGGAGGCCCTCAGTGGCACACCCTCGGTTCCTGGCTGTGCCTGAGGTTTCCCTGGTCATGAAGGGTCATGAAAAGGTCATGTGGGGAGCGTGAGAGCAGATGGGCCTGAGAAGTGCATTTGGGGCTGCCTATCCTGGTCCAGACCCACATCCTCACCCCACAGAGTCACAGACACACACAGGCCCAGTGTGGGGAGCTCCTACGACACCACCCTTGCCCGCTCCTCCTCAGGCCCCTCCCGCAACAGCTGCCCGAAGCACCTGTCACCCCAGACTACATGCCTCAAGGCATCTGGACACCTGCAGATGACAGAAGTGCCCCTGTCAGCTGGCTGCAGCACCCCACCCACCGGTCCACAGCTGGACGGGCCTCTGTGCAGTGAGACTACAGCCGGTGCTGGCGGAAGGCAGAGAAGGCTCTGCTGGGCGCTGACCCCGAGCCCTCGCCACCCCAGGTTGGTTCACTCACCCTGACAGCTGCTGTTCCCCTCCTCCTGGCTGGCTCCCCAAGACTGCCTGCTCCTGTTCTGCTCTGCGGCTGCATGAGCCCCCTGGGGCACCTCCCCGCAGCGGCCAAGGGGGGGCCTCGGAGGCTGCTCATTTCCCTGTCACATGGGCAAACGCCAGAGTCCTGACTCCTCCCAGCGGTGCTTCTCTACCCTCCCAGGCCTCCTTCCCCGGTCTCCACCCGAGGCTTCTCTGACTGGGAGGCTGGCCGCTGGCCCCACTCCAGGCCCCATTCCAGGCCCCGCTCCTGGACAGGCTGCCTTCCCGCAGGGCCTTGGACATCAAGCTGCCCAGCCTGGATCCTGGCCCTTGTCTCCGAGGTGCCCCCCACTTCCAGGAGGTCATGCCCCTGTTCAAGAACCTGCTGGGCTTCCCATTGGGGGACAGGAGTTGCCAGCCTGCTCCTGGTGAGGCCCTCAGGCTGCAGGGGTGATGATGGAGAGCCTAGGGTGTGATTGCATCTCACCCCTGCTTGACAGTCAGCTGTGAATCTCCAGCAGCTGAAGGGCGTGTCTCCCTTTTCGAGGACATGTCTCTCTGAGATGGGTTCCCTGCCCCCTCCTCCCCCGCCCCAAGGGCAGCAACCTCCAGCTTTAGCTGGTTTGAGCCAGTGTTGGGTAGACCCCAAGAAAAGGTAGCTTACCCAGCTGACGCTGAGCAAGAGGTCGTCCACTTCTCTCGAGAAACACTTACTGTGTTCTCATGCCCCCCTCCCTCCCCAAGACCGCTGGCCTCTGACACTCACTTCCCCTGGACATTGGGCGAGATGCCAGCTAATGGATATGTGAACACACTTCACAGAAAAGGCGATGTAAAGTGTTCGTTAAAGATATGAAAAGACCCCAACAGACTCACGAAGAGAAATATAGATTAGAAGTGCCTACAGTGGCATTTCTGTCTCGCATGGGCAAACGCCAGAGTCCACAACACTCTTGGAGGGGACAGCCTCAGACCTCTCCTGTTGATACTGAGCATGGCACACACCCCATGGAAGGGGGTTTGACATATCCACCAAAATTAGAGATGCATGGCCTTTGACCCAGTAACGTGCTCCTAGGAACCATTCTATAGTCACGGCAGAGTTGCAGCAGCCCAGGAGCCATGCCGGCATCTGTTCTGTCCAGGCCATGGAGCAGCTGGCCGCTGGAGGGAGGAGCCATCTCTGTGGCCACTGCCACCAGGTTATCTCCAAGAGGTGCCACGAAGTAAACAAGGGTGTGGATGCTCATTCTCTTATTGAGGGCCAGCTGGTTATATTTTTACAAATGGAAGGATAAGCCATCAAGTTTGTTTTCAATTAAATTGTGACCTGTGGGGAACAGGTGGCTATGGAGTGAGGGAGAGAGGAGTAAAGACTAGACTTCTGTGAATACACCTGGGTGTGTGGATTTGACTTTAGAACCATGTAAAAAGTCATGTAATTACTAAAGTCAATTAAAGTACATTTTTAAAGGAATTCTTAAATTTGAAAACAAGATGAAACCATGAACTTGGATTAGCAGTTGGTGGCATAGCCCACCGAAGTCTCCCATGTGACTTTAAAGTCCAGTATTCTATGTCTCTGCAGTCTGAGGACAAAAAGAATGACAAAGTGTTTCATCTTCCAAATCATTTTAAAACACACTTTTGTCTGGACATCTATATAACCCAAGGATTTTAACAGTGCATAAAACATCTTCAACTTATTGGCAGTCATGCTGTTGATGGTAGTGTCGGTGTTGTTTGGGGATTATTGTGCGTCTTAGGGGATAAAACAAATGAATAGTTATGTTGGGTTTGGGATCAAGAAGATGCAAATATGTCATCAGGAAGGTTAAGAAAGCCACATAGATCAGAGCTGACGGAAAGGCTGCACCTATGCGCACTATCTCACCTTACAAAGAAGCTTCCTGCTTCTGACCACCTACAATGCTGGGCCAGGGGGTGGTGGGAGGTGGGGGGAGAAGGGAGGAGGTTGGACTACGTTAGGAGTCAGGTTAGAGTCAGGCCAGAGCAAGTCTTGATGTTTTACTTAATGTTTGTTCACTTTGAAAATCTGAAGAGTCCAAGATTATTTATCCAGAGTCCTGTGTGGCTATATGCATGCTACAAAGAAGCTTCCTGCTTCTGACCACCTACAACCATCTTGTTTTCAAATTTAAGAATTCCTCTAAAAATGTACTTTAATTGACTTTAGTAATTACATGACTTTTTACATGGTTCTAAAGTCAAATCCACACACCCAGGTGTATTCACAGAAGTCTAGTCTTTACTCCTCTCTCCCTCACTCCATAGCCACCTGTTCCCCACAGGTCACAATTTAATTGAAAACAAACTTGATGGCTTATCCTTCCATTTGTAAAAATATAACCAGCTGGCCCTCAATAAGTGAATGAGCATCCACACCCTTGTTTACCTGAAGAGTCCAAGATTATTTATCCAGAGTCCTGTGTGGCTATATGCATGCGCACACACATTCACACACACAC